CCTATCAATATGGGCCAACATTTCTAAAGAATGCTTTCAGCACCTTGTTGAATCAATGCCACATAGAATTAAGGCAGTTCTGAAGGCGAAAGGAGGTCAAACACCATATTAGTATGGTGTTCCTAATAATCCTTTAGGTGAGTGTATGCAGTAGCTTTCTGCAATCAACCACTGGCAGCAGATGTCTGATGTCGTCCTCTTTGATGTACATCAAGTCGTTAACTTCACGTACTCCCATTTTGGACAAATCTTCAAGTAGAGTCCTCAACGTCTCACTATCCAGATGGGGAAGACTGCCTCTTACTAAGTCCTCCATCACTTTTCACATAGGCAGACTGAATGATGGAGCACTACAAGACTGAGATCACACTGCCTATACACAGACAATGGGTAACATTGAGCAAGACTGTCAGCACATACACAAACATACAGAGTCTCACCGTCATCCTGCAGACAGTGCACACCAAGGTCCAACACTGCGACTGACATATTTCTCAGACACAAAATAAACCTTTTCCTGATTGACAAGTATTAGAACAATCTTACCTAGCACATAGCCACTATCATTGACATCAAGGACAACAGTCAAGCCTTTTCTGTATGTTGTGCCTTTGTATGTTACAGCAGGCGTTTCTACTGTGGTGTCTTTAGTCAAGCCCTTGAACCTCACAACTTCCTGAATTGCTGCATTATACATTTGTCCATCAAACTGATTTGCCTGACCTACTAGGAGAATGAGAGGAAAAATATTTCCACAGTGAAGATAGGCTTGCAGCAGCTGGTGCCTTTCTGCGAAAGTGCTACAAAGATTTTTGAAGTTGTGGAGCTTCCGTGCACACCGGTTAAAATATGTGTTTACTCTCAAAGCGCAATGTCCAGAGGTGAATGAGAGGACCAAATTTTAATAGGAGGTTCGGATAGTGGAGTAGGAAATGATGTTTTAGCTTTACAGGCTTGTCTGGAAAAAGAGCTACTCTAGACTGGAGATACTCCCGGATGAGAATCTTGAGATATGCCACTTGGTGAACATGGATCTTAGGTGCACCAATCAGCTCTACTATCTCCATGAGCTTAAGGCACAACTGCTAAGCTTGGTCTTCCAATGGATTCTTGATCCGATCACCAACAAGAATTGGGAGAAGCCGCAAATAGCACCAGTTCTGAGCAGCACTCCCCTCCAAGTGCTCTCCATTTGACTTCACCTCACATGGTCGGTTATTAGCATCACTGCTCTGGAACTTCAGTTGAAATATTCTCTTATTCAACTGAATATATGAAAAGTGTTTCCGAACATACACCAGGTTCCTGATATATAATGCAAGATCAGCAGACACTATCCCCTCAAACAAATCATGCCCTAGGCAAGGTGGGAGACCAGGTTGGCAGACATGAGAATGTCTCAGCTGGTTGAACACCGAGTCATACATCACACCGTCTATGATGGCTTCCTGACCCATGGACAACTCCTCAACACAGTTATTATAAGTTTCTCTTGTCCTTACTGGGTCAAGCTTTGTGAGTTCCCTTTCAAAGCATTCTCGATCTATAAGGCAGTATCTAAAAGCGTCTTAGCTTGCATCCTAAGATAGAAGAAGGCTAAGTTTGTCATGAATACATCTCCATCTACTTTGCTTGAGGAACTCTCAAGAAAAATCAGAAAAATCTGCACTGTGTGTGTCACCAGCATCCCCATCAACAGCATCAGAAATACTGGTATTATCATCAGACACACTAAATGTAGAGGCAACCTGCCCAAATGAATGCTTTCTGCTCACATGTGAGAGGAAAGAAAACCTGTAAGAATCCTTGCCTGTAAGAAACCTTACTTTTACAGTTTTCAAAAGGGCATTTAATTTTATTTCCATCTCTAACGTGCCATTTTAAATGTTCACATAAACTGGAAAAGCTTGTGGAGGTGAATGCACATCCCTCAACATGGCAGGTCATATCAATACTTGGACTTTGAGTGGGTATGATGCATGTGAACCTGAAGGGCGATGGCAGTCCTAAAACTACAAGGGCACCCAACCACCCCACAAGAAAATCTAAAGTTGGTGAGATTCCTGTGTTCTTTGACATGCTTGACAAATACAGTGACAGTCTCTGCAGAGTAGCAAAAAATTTTGCAAGAGAAACCCATTTCTAAAGATCAGATTCCTAACTAATCTATATTTTTATCTTTATATTTATCAGTCACAAGGTATGGCAGCTAGACATACGGTGGCACTGGCTGAAATCCAAAATGGTCTTGGCCCTTCAAAATTGCACAGTTCTTGCCCTACGGACAAAAGAGAACAATAAATTAACTAACTGGAGGCGTGGTGATTGAGAGTGTAAGCTACAGTAGCTGCACAAAGACATTAGCATGGCGGAATGGCTCCGCCGGTTACAATTAATTAAGCGTTTAAAGTAGAAAACCCCGAATCAGGGAAATTCTAAACTGAAATGCTAGAAATATGGACTTTATCTTACGTTAAGCGTTTTCCTCTCCATATTGACACCCATTATAAGGAAAAGGCTTAACCTAAGATAAAGTCCATATTCCTAGCATTTCGTTTTGATTTTTTTTGTCAGGTTAAAGTCTTTATAACCAGATATGTCTGTGAGAAATTTGGTGATTACTGGTCACTGTTTTGGTACATTAAACCACTTGAAGCTTTTTCACGTTAAGCATTTTAGAATGTCCCACCGTTCAGGTTGTCAAGAAATTACTTGTTGGATTTTTTGTAAATCCGATCCCCATAGTTCATTTTTAAGTATTTCCCAGTGGTTATGTCACGGCCGGTGGTGCAGCGAGCGAGCAAGGAGGCAGGCTGACCCAGAGTGACAGGTAACGTAGCTTTATTGCAAGTGGACTGGACAACACGAAGACCAACGAACCAACAATAGCAACGTCAATGACAGAACTGGGGACTACAGACTTAGACACGGACTAAGTACTAGAGACAGGCTACGGAGAACGAATCACAGGTGAGAACAATCAGGGAATCACATGAGGTAACGAGGTGGGTGTGGCACACATTGGGATCGAACGGAGCGGATCATGACAGAACCCCCCCCAAAAGGCGCGCACTCTGGGCGCGCCCCAAAGGGAGGCGACGAAGGAGACCAAACCGGGGAAACAGGACCTGGAAAACAAGAACAAAACCATTAACGAGACCAGGGAAACAGGACCGAGACACAGAACTGGAACAAAGACCAACCAAAGGACAGGACGCGACAAAGAACAGGAAACGCGGAAAGACAAACCAGGAAAGGAGACATGGGGGGCACAGCAGGAACACCCACCGGCGACACAAAGGGGCCAGGGGTGAACAGAGGCGGAACAGAGGGACAAGGGGCAGAGACAGGCCCCACGGTGTGAAAGGAAAAAAAGGAGGGAGGAGTGGAGCCAGAGGGAGCTCAGACAGGCGACGGGCGGCGGCCGGAGGGGCCGCAGGCGAGGGGAAGAAGGGAGCCGGAGGGAACCATACAGGGGCCAAGGGGACGGGACGAGGGAGAGACGGAGGGGGCATGAAGGGAGCAGGAGGGAACAGCAGCCTCCGGCGCCTTGTCGGTTGCCTCCAGGCCCTCCTGCTTCGGCGGGCTGTCGGACGGCGCCTACGCCGGCTTTGGCTACGCCGTCGCCTGCTGCGGCTTCCCCCTCCTGCCTGCCGAAGCAGGAGGGCCTGGAGGCAACCGACAAGGCGCCGGAGGCGTGACCGAGGATCGACACCGAGGCACCGTGGGGGGACCCGGAGGCGACCACCGACCACGAGCCAGAGGCGCAGCCGGCAATCCCGGAGCCCCAAGCAAGGCGAGCGAGGGCGAGCAAGGGGGCAGGGCGGGCGGGAACCGGGCCCGACGCCTGTGGCCCCGTCCCTTACGGGACACTGACAGGCGGGGTCCCCCAGGCCGTAGTTCCCGGTCAGACAGGGGAACAGGAGTCTTTTCTCCTGGTGAGGCGGCCGGTGGTGCCGCCTCACCAGGAGACGGGCTGGACGGGCAGGTCCGGAGAGACAGGCAGATCAGGCGCCGGCAGGACAGGCGAGACAGGCAGATCAGGTGCCGGCAAGACAGTCGAGACAGGCAGATCAGGTGCCGGGAGGACAGGCGAGACAGGCAGATCAGGCGCTTTGGGCGTGCGGCCAGCAGGGGGCGCCACGGACAGAGCGGCTTCCTCCGCTGCAGGCGGAGGCGAAGCCAGGCCCTCGGGCAGAGCTGCAGCGGGCACCCTCAATTCCTGGCCAGCAGGGGGTGCCCCGGCGGGCGCCGCCATCACGTGGCCAGCAGGGGGCTCATCCGCGGCCACCTTGGGCAGTGCCACAGGCAGAGCGGTGGCAGCTGCAGGGACTGCAGGCCGAACAGGCAAGTCAGGCAGGACAGGCGGGTCAGGCAGGACAGGCGGGTCAGGCGGTGCCGCAGGCTGAGAGGCGGAAGCAGCAGCAGGCGGTGCCGCGGGCAGAGAGGCGGAAGCAGCAGCAGGCGGTGCTGCAGGCAGGTCCGGAATGGGCGCCAGGATGGGCGCCGGCCAAGCAAGCGTTGCTCCTTTAAGGGCTTTAGGGACCCGGGGACTTGCGTCTCCTACGGCGCTGATTAGGGGTGCACCGATTGCAGTTTTCTGGCCGATCAATGATCACCGATCCTTAGGCAACCTTACCTGCCGATCTCGATTTTTTTTT